AGCCGCGCTGGACAGATTAGCACTGGCTGTCAGCCACTTCGGGCTTTGCTTTGCACCATCGAAGTGCAAAGCGTTCCTCCAAGATTGGCAGGGTCGCCTCCTGCTCTGACCCTTGGTGGGGATCAGCTAGAGGTCGTTCAGAAATTCAATTACCTGAGAAGTTGTATCAGTGCCCTTGGGATCGAAGACGAGATCACGAACCGTATAGCGAAAGCTCGAGGTGCCTTTGCTAACCTTTGCCACCTATGGCGGCGGCGCGACATCACTGTCGCCCTGAAGGGTAGAGTGTACAACGCAGCGGTACGTTAGACCCTACTGTACGGTTGCGAACCTGGCCCCTAAGATCGGCGGACATGAAGAGGCTACTTACGTTCGACCATCGGTGCCTTCGCAGTTTGGCTCACGTCTGGTGGGAACACCGCGTGTGTAACGAGCGTGTTCGATGCATTGTTTATGGCCCCGGAAAAGGATCTGAACCGCTCAGCACCGTTATTTCCCGCACCAGGCTCCGATGGCTCGGCCACGTGATACGCGTGCTAATCCACCGACTCCCTCGACGTACGTTGTTTTCTCACCGGGATGTGGGTGGAAGAAGAGGAGAGGTGGCCAAGCAATGACTTGGTCCAGGGGAATGAAGTCCCTCACTTCGGAGCTAGCCTCGGTTGGAGCGTCACGGCTCGCTGGTTGGGGTCCAAAAGACGGTGAACACGTTTGGCTGGATACACTTGCTGACATGGCAAGGAGCCGACCTCAGTGGCGTTCGTGCTGTGAGTTTCTTTGTTCCCTCCCATCCCTTTTAGCTTCCCCCTCCATCTACGATCTCATTTCCTAGGGTAAAACAATAATAAAAAAATTTTTCTTTTTGCCTTGTAGCTGGCTGGAAGCTTACCGGAACGATGCCTATCGTTGCTGGTAGCTAGCTGGCATGCAACTGTTGTATCTATTTATCCTTTGTGTATTGTATTATACTTATGTATGTATTTCCTTCATGTATTGCGGCACAATAGCGGAGGTGTTTTCCCACCTGTAGCTGATGTGTATAATGAATGTATGAACGGGGATTAAATGGCACCGGTTCATAGCCTGACGTTCGCATACGTCCTCGAAATTAACTTGATACTAAACAAACGTATGCTGGTCATTAATTTTACTCCAGAACGACTTCAATGAAATCTGCTATTCGCAGTTGCTTTGAGTAACTGGGACCTTGCTGCTGTCATCCATAGGATGTCAGGTCATCAATCACATTAACAAGTTACAGGAGACAGAGTTTTCTTCTCCACAAGGCACTGCAATTTTACACCCAGTGTTTCTCTCTGTTTCAATTACAGCTGCTGCTTTTTTGCCTTTTGGCTGAATGCGGACTTTGTGAACGGCAGTACGCAGAGACCAGAATGAGGCTTCAAAACGATGGACTGATGGCTTTTTAAAGCGAAACACGCGTGACTACACTGGGGTAGACTCCGGTGCTTACACATGTAAAATCGTGTATATGGTGTCACTATCGACGCCAACCAACTTGGCCAAAAGCTTGAGATAGTGTGATGAACTGTTAACGCCTCGGTGGTTGCGCAACGAGGCTGCCATTCATAGAATGAGCACTCTGGTTGGATAACTGTCATGAACAATTGTCCGGTTTTATGCGGGGCTGATAATCATTTCGATCATTTCTTATAACCAAATCCTTAATTTACTGGTGCTTCTAGTACTTGAGCTTCCCGATTGTTGGTTTGAGATGAAACGAGAGCTTTCTTCACCATTGGGAACAATAGTTCACCAGAGTCATAATAAACGCAATCTATTTGCACAAATTGGATTTACGCCTTCGAATTGCTGAAGTATCAGTAAACTGAAGCAGACGAGCATTGCTTTGTTGGTTACCTAATCGTTAACTATATTGCAATGTTTGTTGCTTATTAATTTTTGTGTATTCTTTTTACAGTACTGAAGGCGTGTGTGTGCAACAGCTGAATATCCACCCCCGAGTGCATAAAGCTCTTTCTTGATTTGAATTGATTTAAACAATTAACGAGGATTTTGGCAAGATGTCCTAAACAAGGGATCTAGCCGGGAGCCTGTGACCTTTCGCAACCATATTACATGGAATGTGCTCTGAACTCCTGGTCAACAGCCTTCTCTCAGTCTTGCTCACATACTTGCTACCACCAGTACAATGAAGGAATTAAGCACAACAGAGGGTACCCAGAGGGTCTGGCATGTCGCGCTTGGATTTACCTAGCGGCTTTCTTACTTGGTGCAGCAATGCAAGTTCAGCCTCGTACTAACACTTCTGTAGTATCTGGCCTAGACGGTACTGAAATCTTCTGCTATGGAGATCCCTTTAAAGGGCAGTGTAATGAACACTTTTTTCTTGGGGACGTCTTCCCATCGTTCTCCTTGCTTTCGGTGATTGCACATAGTGCTAAAGTCTCTCGGGGTATCAATTGTTACGAAATATCAATAGTACGTGCCCCAGCTCCCTGTCAATGCTATCTTCAGAATAACTCTTTCGAGCTCACATGAAGGCGGTGCGAACCAATGCTCGGTTACAGTTTACAGGATCAAAACTCTTGAAGCTGAGGTATTGTCTTGTCCAAGTAGGCTTGCGATACACAGATCGAGTGGGTGTGTAGTCTGAATTCCTCTCTAGCTTTACATCTAGAAAGTGGAAGGTGTTATCCATTTCACTTGCCATCGTGAATTTGACTGCAGAATGGCAAGCGTTTAGAACACCGAGTAACTTTGTTGCCTGCCGAGCGTCGCAACAAATATGTCGTCCACGTAACTACAATACGAAGGAATATTTTGTATGTTTTGGTGTAGTGTATAGTGTTCTCCGAGTGGCCCGTAAAAATAGCAGCAGGGACTAGGCCAAGTGGGCTTCCTATGGCCACACCATCAATCTGGCGGTAGATAGTTCCATTGTATTCGTTAACTCCGTTAAGAAAGCACAACGTGCAGCGGTTTCTTTCCTTTAGTATGCTTAATAAATGTGAACTCTGTCAGTTAAGCAAAAGGCATGAAACATTGTGCCGAAGTAGCTAGCTCGGACTAAATGATCGGAATTTAACTGGACGTTTGTAGCCTGGAGAACACCTAAGTGGTTATGATATTGTAGCGCAGTGAAGTCCCTACTGCCTTGTGCGTTACCGTTGTGTTGAGACTAGAACAGCTCTCCCTCAGCAACAACTTCTCTAGCTTACTTTGTCGACTAGTCCGTGGCATTATAAGCAATTTGCGTATGTGTGTGTGCGAGCGTAGTTGCATGAGCTTGGGACGAAGTAGTTAACATGACTCCTTTCAATGGAACAGCGGTATACGTAAAAAGCTATGTCTTGATAAGTCCTGTAGGGCTGTCTGTCTGGAATACCTAAATTCACAGAGAAACCTTTGCCAACAAGGTAAAGTCCCACAGCTAATTCCCTTACATGGTGTAGCCAGTTAACATTGGGTGACGTCTTTGCGCAAAAGCGACGTTATACCCTTCATATCCCACCCAAATGCTCGACGTCAGATTAGGTGTACCTAGGCTATTGCGGAACTTGCTGAGCCCAGCAACATGTGTCCTTTCGTATTCAAGATAAATTATTATCTTGCAGTTTTCGCACCGATCATCCTACTGCGTTTCAATCATTTGCTTATTTGTCCCTTGTACACCATTTCTTCGGTGAACTTCGGTGAACGGATCCAACCCGATCGACCGAACTGAGTTAGCAGGCGTCCTCCTACGTGCTGGACAACATGTTACGTTACAATAATCTTCCAAAAGTCCGTTTTTCGCTCTTAAAGTGTACGCGGGAAACAGGAGACCTTCAGTTGAATACTCGGTTTCTGTAATCTCTCGGTTTACGAATTCCGCGGCTGCTAATCGATCAAACCTTTGTTTCTTTTGATAAGTCTAACCATCGCACTGGGAATTCGTAGAATGCATGCATTAACACTGGCATAAATTCCACTGCGGTTCGCTTAGGGCTGACCCGGTGGTCCAGAACAGACTAGACCTGTGCTCCAAAGCAACTTTACATCAACCTTTATTAGTAACTACGAACGCACTCACCATCAGTCACTGGACAAAACGGCGGAACGCTTAACTACAGCTTCTAACACATCAAAGGGTTCCACAATGCCACGAAGGCAATGAATAGGCAATACGAAATAAGTATGTTTACTGGTTTTCGTCTTCTCCCCACAATGCTCGATCTTTTAATGACTTTGGATACATACTCACGTAAGTGTTGCGTCAGGTGACTAGGAGAAACTATATTAAACATTGTAACGTATCTGGATTCTACCATTTCGCTGAGCGAGGCAGTTGAGTTTTACGCCCAACATTTGTCTCCAAGCACAACCTTGCATGCGCTCGAGCCAAGTATAAATAAGCTTTTCTCACGTTGGCGGCAAGTGCCTCGTACTTTTTCTTTGAGAGACATATTGATCTTCCATATTGCATGGCTTGCCAAATCCATTATTGTCCAACAATAATATATATAAGCGTCTTAAGTTCAAAATGTTTCGATTCACGTAAGTAAAAAACCTTCATGCCCAACTATAACCTGCAAGTAGGTTTTCCCGTTACATTCATTTAAACATAACTTTGTGTCCAGGATGATATTCACAATTCATCCGATTCTCAATCACAATTTTTCTCTCCTTTCTGTCTCCATCCCTTGATGCACTGTCCTGTAACTGCGCACTCAATCCTCGGTACGTCATGTACGTGTTCATCCAACGTGATCCACGCAGCTTTGCTTACCACACCTCGAGCGCACAGCTTAGATCGATATATCGATTCATTTGGGTCAGGTGAAATAGGATGCACTCATTATGTTAGTGGAAGTGGTAGAACACATTCAAGTTTAGAGACCCTGCAAACAATTGTCTCGATTGACATAGACGCGCACCCAACCGAGTTCAAACAGCAGTACCTCTATCGAACCACTCTGGCTCGTGTACCGCTTGCTATAAAAAGGCTGCAGATACGAATGTTTAGCGATCGTGTAATGCAACGGACTCGGAGTCTGGAACGTCCGGTTGCAACTGAAACCGCTTGTAAAATAGTAGAGCTATGGGGGAGACCAACGGTTCTGATCGACTATGATGCCACTCGCATGATGGCCCAAACTCTTCCACCGAGTTTGCACGGTTCATTGGAGTATCTTCCGACATCAGATGTTGACACCGAGGTGAAATACGATCAACAATTTACTGTGAAGATTTCATCTCATCCGCAGTATTCGCTACCTCAGCGACCGGCATCGGTTGGACCTAAGTTTCAACCGTATCGAGGACATTTCAAACACCCCGTAAAGCAGTCTCAAACCTACTTCATCTATCCTCAGCCGAGTTTTCATGAGGAATCTGCAACATCACCGTACGGCATGGACACCAAAGGTGGTTATTTAGAAATGTGTCCGATGAATCTCTGCACTTTGACAGCCCATGTGATTCACTGCTTCCGCTTTTATTAAATGCACCAATGGTAATGCACGCTTTGATTCGCCATCAGCAAGCACCCATGTTGCCGCCACAGCCGAATTTATGATTTCCCAGCTGATTATTCACATTTTCACATGCCTACAGCTTCTGTATGCCTTGTCGTTTGCTGAACGAAATCCTGGTGTGTTCATTGTGTTAAGCAATTGATGGTTCCCCTTTTGCCCGTGATGCAGTTGGCACAAACTTGCTGTTTCCGGTTGAGTTGCTATGCTTCTCCATCACCAATCATGCAGAAGCGCTTACCACTACGAAAGCAAGCGGAAAATCTCGGATAAGTGGCCACCTTGAGGCACTGCTAGACGTCAGCACCACTAACAACCACCAGCTGGTATGGATGGGTCCCAGAGGTCAGTTTTAACACCGACTCACATACACGTGAACACTCTTTCTGTTCGAACTCATCCTAGAATGATTTTCTCATCCTGTCTCATGGGGGTTAATTGAGCTTAGACAAACTTACGCTCCAATATGACACAATACCGGGTGCGAGTTCGAGACAATTGACCTAAGTCCTTAAACGTGGATGGTGATATTTTCAAGGTAGCATAAATCACATTCCTAGGGTTACATCTGCCCTGGATATATATCATTGAAACCTGCCCTCATCTATAGTAGTTTGAGGCACACTACCTTGTGACTGAAACCACTGAGTAGTAGAGGGACTCGAATGTTGTAGGTAGAAATTCATCACCTCTGGACTCCGTCAGGCAGGCGTTCCACGCACGGGAAAGCACTTTACGTCTGTTTCATCATTTCAGGAATCGTCAGCAGTGCGTTTTCCACCTGACCCCTGTAAGCAGTACGCAGGCCAAACTGCTTATAATACCATAAGTTAATTGGCGGCTTAAGTTTGGTAAATTCGTCGCTTGGTGAGGGGGCTACCCTGTCCTCTGCACGGCATTAATGTACAACTCAGCGGATAGTGAGCAGCACTATATCACACGTAATAACTTAATCACATTGTCATCTCCCGTAGCTCAGTTGTCTTAAGCACAGACTAACAACAGCCGAGTTGCTGGTTCGATCCCTACCAGAGTCCGATGGAATGTGCACTGCTGACGATACGCAGAAGGATGAAACTGCCGTACCGTACTTTTCCGGGCATGTAATGGCTAGCTGAGTGAGTCTAGATATGATGAATTTTTACCTATACCCTTGTACTCTCCTACACTACACGCAGTTCCACAGGGGGATACACTGAATTAAAATATAACTTAGTTCTCCACCCTAGGTGTGTAGAAGTTGTCCTTGGTAGTGGCTGAGTACACATGAATTTTCCAAGATGAACCAAGTGGTATATAGCTAATTGGGAAGAAATGTTACCAAATGCTCGACACTAGCAAAACCATTTCTTAACAACATGTACGCTACTGAATATCTCACACATGCATGAGCAAGATCATAACTACTAATTATTCGTCCCCATTACATGAACAGCCTACTACACAGTCGAGAAATGTGCCTTATTACTTTTTTCTTTTTATGACACTACAATATGGTAACAATTCGATTACTCTTGTTAGTCACAGGCGCGATGCTTACAAGACCTAAAGGTAGTTGTATGGATAGAGCAACCACCCACGAGGGAAGTAACCCTTGCATACTTCGGAACAGGGAACTTTAACAGACTGTCTCAGCTATCTCAGCGAATTAGAACATGTGAAGTGGTAAAATATAGCAACCTATGTCTTCTGTCTGTGTGTTGATTAGAAGACTGATTTGATGGCTAATTTGGAAGGTCCGGTTGGCACATGGCCCGGAAACCCAACCATCTCGTAAATCCCAATATGGGGTTACTGGTTATTGAATCATAGCCTTACACGTCCTGATTTATGATAGGTTGGGTATTTGCAAATGGAAATTTGCAAACAACCACAAAGCGTACTTTCCGATCGAAATTTTGTCCAATGGGGTCGTCCAGTCAAAGTGTGGTGCGATTAGTGAGGCTGTTGCCATTGGCTTTCCCACCAGAACAGATGTTTGTCTTAGTGTTTTAGCGTTCTGACTTTCATATGGGCTACATGAGGCGATGTAAGGAGCCCTGTCAACGTGGAATCAGAAATAACAGTCCCCGATAGGGTATTAAAGATGTATTACAGATGATGATACCACCATACAAGTAGAGTAGACTGCTCCGTGAAGATTCATTACTTCCACTGTGCACCTGCAACCAGAATCGGTAGGCTTTACCGTAGCCTGTGACACTAGATTTCGTCTTCGTTTGTGTATGGGAATTGACCTAGATGCTAGAACCGGTCAGAGATGTTCTAGCACTGTTGCGAGTTCTAGGTGATAGCAAAGTAGTGGGTTTGAAAAACAAGCGTTTCCGCTTTCTTATTAAATGGACATGTGTTTACATGGCATATTTGCCATTTCCAACCGACGGGCTGTGGAAATACTGCAGCCTTGTTTGAGACCCATTGATTGGTCCGCCTGATAGTGTGTGCACAATGTCACGTGACTAGGTCACTAAGTCGGCGCTAACGCGTCACATGCTTGCTGAGTTCTGGCTTGGCGTAGTCGATGCGACCAACTGACTATGGTATCAATACACAATGTCTCCGTCGATTGGTTGCTGCGATGTCGTCAATTTTGCGTCCCACCGCCGCATATACGTCCTGAGCGGCGTGACTTTTCGGTCCAGTGTCAGCTGATTGACACTCATTCACTTTGGTACCAGTTCATTTCAATTCATCGGCTATCGTGCACGAGGTGTGCTATATCAGGTAATATTAAAAAGATCTGAAGAGCTGTGTAAAGAGAAAACTAGACTAAATAAAAATAAGCTAAAGCCTCCTGAGATGTTTAGAGCTTAAAATATGGAAACGTGCAAGCGCTTCACTAACCACACCTGCGCCATATCCTGTGAGGTGTTCAATCACTGATGTGGATGATTCCGGGGAAGCGATGGAAGCAGGTGACAGGCAACAGCCAAACGCAGTCTTCAATAAGTTTGTTTGCAGTTTTGCCAAGTCAACGGCTAACAACCTCGGGTTGGACGCACCAACGCACGATGTTGTTTGACGGCGCTCACCGAAGAGACTGGTCAGGAACTGTGATCAAAACACGCGGATCATAAAAGCTTATTGCCCTATACCAGCTTGCGAGTTTCTTTACTAGCTATTCGGTGTTCCGAATAGAGGTCAACCTCACTGCAAAAGCATCGATGATTAACCACAGCCGGTCCCCCAATATCACACTAGCGCGCAGTGACCCTATCGATGGCTTGCACAATGACACTTGCCTACTGCATCGTTGTATACCAATTCCTTAACACATTAGAGTATACCCAACCATTCATCCTAGCGGGTGATTGCGGTTTTGATACATCACATGAACTTTATCAATGAGTGCACGATGTCTTTAGGAGGGGATGGCGGCAGCATAGCAAGTGGGTGGTTGCCCAGGTGTACGAGAAGACACTATCGCACGTGGAGGTAAAACGGCTTGTACAGAAGCGACAGGCACCGAGGGAACCTATCCTATTGTCGTCGAGCGCATGGGGCTGTAGCGAATTCGGTCGAGAGTGCCTAAGCCAAGCGGCCTTGGTAAGCCACCAGCGTGGCTACTTGGGGCCAGCATCCAAAAAACCACGAGTCAACTGATTATCTAAACATGATCAGCGCATCGTTGCTAAGTACGCTGTGTCCGCTTCCATTCGAATTCCTAAGCCAGTCCAATAAGGCGCTTGATGTGGTACTAGGGTTAGATCACCGTTGCATTTGGTCTGTGCGTGTGCCTGTGTGTTGAGTTTCTTGTATTTCAGCTGCTGACTGTTGCTTGCTATCCCCGGTGTGAATGTTGACAAGGTACCTGTCTGTCTATTACGCTCCACCTTATTATATACCGGTTCCAGACTATAAAATGTTGATGGGAGGACGGGGTGCACGGTCCTCGTGACCATGCTAGGCTCAAAAATTGGTTCCATCCAGTGTGGAGCGGACTACAATCCGGCCACCGACTTGTGTACGTCTGCTATACATGATTCACTCCTTAGATAGATAGGAATGCTGTTGCTGTGTAAGTTGAAGGGGTGTGAGCCGGTTCCATTGATGAAATGTGGCTCCCATTCACATGCCTCGCGATCTTATTCCTTTGAGTTTACACGGGATATGGTTGTGTGGATGTAGCTGTGGATGGTACAGCACAAGCCACCCATGGTCACTCTGTAGGCGCAGGCGTCCTGTGTCTGTCCCCTTGGAGGCCGCAATCACAGGCAAATTCGAAACCAGATTCCGCCAACCACTAGGTCCTCCGCAGATGTGAATACTAAGATGTCGCAACTGCTCAGCTAGATAACCCGATGGACCACAAACTGTTTGGAAATAACGGGAATTATAGACAATTTTGACCAGATCTGTTTTGTTGCTTAAAGATGCAAAACCCATTTCAAAGCATGCAGCGCTTTACGTGTGACAACACCAACCCAGGGGGGGTTTTATGATCTGCACGCAATAAGTTTGACAAGGGGCCATCAGGACAAAGGGATAGAGAGGAGAAAGGAGTTTCTCATGGTCATTTCGATCGCAAAAGTAGAGAGAAGTTGTGGTTGGATATTCTTGAGGCACTCCATGCTTCTTGGGGATTCCATTCGGAATCGTGGGATTGATATTTTAGCTAGAAAAGTCGTTTCCATGGTACAACCTTCTAAGGTAGGCGTTACTACATGCAGGTGCGGTCAGTGGAGTCGAAGGAATCCTTTAAGACAAAAGACGGTTATGGTATAGATGCAACTGTGGAGCGAAGAAATGGGGCCAGATAGCTCGTTGTTGTGTTGTAAACCAGCCTTGTGTTCACTGATTCTGTTGTCACGAGGGCCAGGAGCCGCTGGAATCTCATGATGCATCTGATTTGGTCAATCCCAATCTAAGCGCTGAGGTGGGGACAATCTAATG